GAGAAAATCTGACCCAACATGCTGCATTTTCAGATTCCTAGCTAACCAGGATAATTCACATTTGTTGCTTCATAAGGAAATTTGAAAGGAAAAACGTCTTATTTCTATAAACAAATTCCCAGGACTCACATCTACCTTGAACAACAAAGCACTGGAAAACCAAAGGAGTTGACATTTCCTTTATTAAAGACACGCTTTCTCCATCCTTTGTTTACAGTTTCACTTCAAACAAAGAGCCCACAGCCTATCAAGAGAACCAGGCCACCGCCTCCGAGCCAACAGAGTTCCACGGCAGCAGGTGCATGTTCGTGCACACACACACACTCACGTCCTAACAGGCCAACAGATACCTCGAGAACGTTATTCCAAGTAGCCAAAGAAATGCCAAAGAAGTGAGAGCTCAAAACACATTTCCCCTTTAGTAGACACAAGGGAGGGAGGTCACTATGGACAGATATGTTTAGGGACTTGAATGACCAGGGCTGAAATTGGGAGGGGAAAAGAAAGATAAACATTAGGCACACTCTGGCTACAGCCAGCAGACCACAATGGAGAACCCTTCCGTGCGGCAAACACGGGGCCCGTGTTATGCCGAGGGGCATGTATGTATCGCCCATCCACACACAAAATGAATTCTGAAGAATTTCTGCATTAACTTTTAAAGCAACAGTGTGTCACCAGAGGCAGAGCAGCTGTTGGTCCCTCTGTTAAGGAAAACTTTTGAATTAAACCTGTCTGAAGGACTAAATACACGACAAATGAGCCCACAGAGTCATGTTCTACAATCCAAGTCATATCCACACAGCAATTCCCCCAACAACCCTCCCGACCAGCTCAACTTGAATGTCATGTTGGAGCATCAGTGCTAGACCTGTTACAAATAACATCTTTTAAGACCATCAGATCTTTCGGCATTAATCCTTGGAAGGGGCAGTAAAATGCAAATGCACAACAAACCTTAAATAAAGATGGTAAAAGCAGTTTATCTTTCAGAAGGCAGATGCCAAAGGAGCAGAGCGACTTAAGAAGGTGATTATAAAAGACATTTTATATCAGGACAGCATAACAATAATAATAACAATAATAATAGCAAAGAATAAGTGTGCAAAATACAATAGAGACTTACCAAACACTGAATTCATGATAAACTGGAAATAGAAACAAGGACACATAAAGCCAACCAGAAACCCACGGAGTGGCTTCACATTCAGAATGACAGAAGTAAATAAGAGACATACCCCCAACTTGCCATATAAAAGATTTAAGAAATGCACACCACTTTCTTAACATTTCCCAAGTGATACAATAGACTGAACGTGCTTGCAGGCAGGACTGGCTGGGGTTTTTCTGGTCTTCCGATCTGCCCCAGCACCAAGCACAGGGCCAGGCGCACAGTATACAGGCGCTACTGAACTCTCATTAGCATCCATGTCAAGGTGTGGAGGGAACAACACCCAGAATCCCGGGCAGCAGGAAGGGTCTGGGAGGGGCGGCCTTCCCCATGAGGTCTGCTGATGATGCAAAAGTGAGACACTAGGTCCCTGAAATACAAGCTGGTCCTTACGAAGGCCAGGGCACTATTGATCACAGCCTGGATGCTTAACCTATCCCATGAATAAAGTGGGTTGGGAAACCCTTCTAAGGATGAAACCAACTGATTTTTTTTATTTCATTTTAATTCAAGTAGAAATGGACAAAGTCCTCTGTACTCATGTTCAAGTATGTATTGAATGTATTTGCTGTTAACTATTAAGATGTCCATTTTGTTCAGTTTTGCTTTTAAACTCAAGGATAGAATGCTTTTCATACATTTCTCCATACATCAATATTCCAATTTAGGAGGGCTCATCAGCCTTCCAAATGGGCTTAATGAGAGAAGAAACAAAAGAATAAATCATTCTCGGAAGGAAACAACCTTTTTGTGTCTGGTTCATGAGAATGTCATCTGGCTCCAAAAAATTTTTCAGATTCTCAGGCTATAATTTGTCAACATTCTGGAGTCTGGGATAACTTCAGGATACACAACAGCCATGCTGCAAGTGTAAATGAAAACTGACTTCTTGCTCCCTGGGAAAAGCTTGTTTTAAAGGAAAAGCTCCTTCACTAGGACTCGGGTGACTGCTGTCAAGCCATCTGCAGGAAATGTTCTTTCTCTCTCTGTCTCTCTCTCTCCTCTCTCTCTCTCACTCTGTGTGTGTGTGTCTTTCTCAATTTCAGTCACATCTTTTTCTCAAATGAAAAGCACATGGAGTCATTCCAGTACCTCCCTAAATCACCTCTGCAGAAATGTGCAAAGGTTAAAGTTGAAAACTGAAACTAATTGGTCCCCAAACTGTTTCCATGGTCTGGCCCTTTCTCAAGGCGATTACTAGCTTTGTTCAAACCTAGGGTATCTCTTGACCTTATACAGGGGCCTAGGGAGGGTAAACTCATCCCACTCCGTGAGGTTCTACAATCCACTCCCCACTGCCACAAAGTGAGGCATGTCCCAAACCGCTGGCCACAACTGGGCAAACTTCTCCAGTGACATCTACCTCAAGTTCAGGACCCAACGAAATAGCTCAATTTCAAACTCATAACAGAAAGAGATTTTGATCTTTCTTTATTAAAAGAAAAAGAACTTGTGTTAACTGTATTAAATTCTCACAGGGTCCAAGGCTGAATCACAAGGAGGACTCATATACTCTCAGAAGGATCCTATGTTAATGAAACAAAGCAGTCTGTTACTAAACTCTGAAAGCAACTTCCCTCCATAACAACAGCAAATGATAAAAACATCCAGAGAGTTCTAGGGACAAAGCTTGGTAGAAACAAAGAGAAGGAGAAGACTTGGGTCATTTACAATAAGTCACAAAACTTGAAAAATCAGTCGGACGGAAGTGTTTACAAGTAACTAGAATCATCCCACAGATTTAGCCTCTGATCCTTGTTCTAAGGGGGAAAAAAAGTGGTTTTTCATTGATTTGGGATGGGGAAAAAATGTAGCTTTTGAGCTCAGCACAATGAACTATTTATCTGGCCTGACAAGGCCAATCAATCCACCCTGCTGTTTATTATAAGGAGTAGTAGGATACTGTTAGTATTGACGGGTGGGGGCAGGGCCAAACACGGCACTGGCCTCGGGTACACAATGCTTCTCTTCAACTGGGAATTTATGTTTGGCCCAGGTGACCCGGGGGTCAGTGTGAAGCCTGGGACAGAATGAAGATGGTATTTTATGCATTTCGTATTTACAGAATGCCTCCATGTGCCCAAGTCTCAGATCCACTGGCAGATTCCTTATATAAAATACCCCAGCGTAAAAGGTTGGTCGTAATCCGGCTGCAGGCCTAAGGTGGAGACTTGAGAAAAAAACATCAGTCGGTAGGCCACCCCTTTTAATGCCTTTTGCGGGATCGTGAAGAATTCCGCAGAGGACCTCAGAGGCCAGATTTTTAGATGTAAAAAGGCAATTATCTGAAAAGTTTTATTCTTTCTTTGATTTCAAGTTCTCAGGTAATTTTTACCAAACTCATCTGGATAATTACCTTAATTCTTTAACTTAATTAATTCCTTAGCTTGTTAAGTTAATTAATTACCTTAATTCTCTTATTCACTTTACGAAAGCAGGGCCGGCAGGAGAAGCCCGCCCGTCCTTGGCTCACGGACCCAGGGAGCGTGAGGAGGAACAGGCTGAGCTCGCTGGCTCAGACCAGCGAGCGGGCTGTGGGAATGGAGAAAGACACACGGACTTCTGGCTCTCTGAAACTGACGAGGGCAGGCCTCAAGAGTTCTGGAACTTACGTGCAAGAATGCAGGAGGGGCTTTGGGGGATGGCTGCAGTTTTACAGCAAAGTACGCTTAATTCTTAAAATGGGAAATCCCCTGCACTGGTACGATGGGCTTTAAAAAAAAAAAAGAAAGAAAACAAGAAAAGAAAGAAAATCCTATAGCTGCTAACCAGCGTGGGCCTGCAGCCAATGCTTCATCTGAATAATTCAAAAAAGCAAATGTAACCCAGGGCAGCTGGAGGGGGTAGAGGAAGAAGCAGGAAGGAAGAGAGACACAAAGCTAATGTCTCAAGCACTACAATCAATGGGCAGTTTATTGGACAAATTCTTATGCTGTCTAAATTTTATGAAAGATTAGCTGTTCTTCCCTGTGGTTATGTAAACTTGCCTTCTTTTTTCTTTTTAATGGAACTCTTGGCTAATACATTTCCTGCTCCTGCTTCCGACCAGCTATTTCTCTTTAAGGAAGTAATAAGCCCGTGAAAAGCCTGCAGTTGAAGGCTACCCTACCGTGGGCACGCTCAGTGTGAGCCCCGCTGGATGCACAGAGAGGGTTGGGTCAGGAAAAACCGAGGAAATCTTGTGCGACCCCAGTAGAAGTGAGTCGAGTCCTCCCTGCAATCTTATATTCTCTCTCCTATCATTTCAAACAACAGTGTCACAAGGGAGGGATGTGGGAGAAAACAAAACCCCAAGGAGCTAATACCTGAAAACCTGCCTTGAGGTCTCAAAACAGGGAAACAAAATGGTTAACGTTCCCTTGGTTGGAGGGATGTACGGGCTATATCTTTGCATGTACTGCCTGCGAAACCAGGAGAGACACAGTCTATGTTTGGGAGCCCAGCAGGTAGAGAGAAAAGACCCTGATAAAGCCTGCCCTTAAATTAAAAAGAGAACGTGGCCAGACACTCACAGCTCAGCCTGCACCATAGCATTCTCTAAAGTCACCTTTCATCCATAAAAATAGATATGAGAGCGAAAGCTAAAGTCCTAGGAAAATCATCATTTACGGATTTAGTCTCCTTTCTCATGATAAAAAAAATTCTGTTAGTTTCCTTTATTATAGTTACATCATTACTCGCTCTGTGTGTGTGTGTCCAAATTTATACAAAAAAACAAAAGGGCAAATGCCATTCAATGTTTCAGCAATTCCAAATTTGACACAGTTCACCCAGAAGTTTCCAGTTTGGGGTTGTGTGTGGGGAGGGGGCTTGTTCTTTGTTTCCATACCTCTCTTATTGGTTCTTAGAATTGTTTCGGAAGACAGCAAAACATTTCCACCGGATACTTCGTGCATGGGTTTTTCTGGAGCTTTGCTGGAGAGAGGGTCTTTCTTCATCTCTTTCTTTATTTCCTGTGAAGATAAAAGGAAAATAAGATAGTTTTTTGAAATTTGAAAATGGCTCTTTGATTATTTTAAGCTTCAGCTTTCTGGAAATGAACTATGATGACCTCAACTCAATATAACATGAGCCTTGAAGAATACCATTTCCTCTATTGCTGTAGCTCGTTTTCCTTACATTTATTACTGAAGCACCTACTCCTACAAAGGAAAACAATGTCCAGTATGGTGACATGACCTTATGTGACTATGGCCATTCCAAGTGACCACAAAGAGAGTGATACTAAAGGCCACTACTCAGCTCTAAGCGACAGCCTGTCCTAGTTTTTGAACAATGACAAGCTTTAGGCAAGCTAAAAGCCTTCTGGTTTCTATCCTTCCCAACAAGGGTTTAGAGAAATATATTCCAAATCACCATTGTCTGACAATTATGCTAAACCCAAAAGAAGATGATTTAAGTTCATTTACAGTCAGCAAGTTCCTCTGGCTTTCCTTAACTCTTGACAAAGAAAAATGTAAGATGACAAACAGAAATAAAGACTATCAGTCCAGGCCAGGGGTCAGCAAACTACAGCCCACCACATGGTTTTGTAAGGAAAGTTTCATTACAGCACAGCCACCTACATCCATTGAGGTATTTTCTAGGGCTACTAGAAAATGATGGCAGAGCGGAGTATTTGGAATGGACATCAAAGCCTAAAATACTTGGCCCTTTAGGGAAAAGTTTGCTCTCGGGGGTCTCTTATCCAAGATCCATTAAGATACAGAATTTAAAAACCTGATGGCTGATAGAATTATTTCAAATTAGTCTAATAATTTACATCATTATTTTTGAAAGCATCAATACCTTGAAATGATAGTAACTCACAAACTGCAAGTCTGGAGTGGAGGGTTTCTGGGCTTGTCTGAGCCCATGATCATGCTGACTTGAGCAAAAGTGAAAGCTATGGGGCTAGACCCAGAGTGTGGCTGAGTGGCAGGAAGGGCTCAAGGATGAGACATGTGTTCTTTAGGAAGAACATGGGGCAAGAAATGTGGATGGGCTCCTTCTATGGAATGAACATGAAGACGGTAAATTAGGTAGGGGGCTGAGATTCAGCCTGGGTAGAGGGCAGAGGCACAAAGAAAGAAAAAAAGCTTGTTAAAACACAGCCACTGCCGGCAGCTTCCTACACACCTGAGTGTTAGTTACCATATCCAATTCCCCAGTTGCTGGCTCAGTTCACAGCAGCCTCACCCTCCCTCCCCTCACCAGGGCCCCACCGGAAACCAGTAACTGCAGCTGTCGCTTTGGTGGGTTGAGAGTTTCAGCCGGTGTTCTAGGCCAAGCCAGCACAAAGCTGTGTGCACGCGTGTGTACATACACGGACTCCCACCTCGGTAGTCGCACCACCTGCTAGAACAGCAGTTGCAGGGGGTTTCTACAGCCTCACAGGCAGACGGCATCAGGGGACAATCTACAAACACTGCCCATGTGAGCCACATGAGGGGTGGCTTTCTTAGGGATGGATGCCAGGCTGCTATGGCTTGAGAAGTAAAAAAAAAAAAAAAACAAGCCACCATGGGGCTCATTCCCCTGAGGTTGTTTCTTTGGGGTAGAACAGCTGCTCAAACTTCACCATCCACTGCAGTGTGGACAGGACTGTGCACACACAAATTTCCCACCTGGACACCACAGAACATGGTGATACAACATCTGGTGTTACCAAGGACTAATTCAGAAAACTTCAGTGCGTCGTGGGCAACATGTCAAGCATTTGCTTGGCACTAACTGCTAAAGACATGCAGATGGGGAAGGGTGAGGGAGGTGCAAATGTTTGAGAGACTGGAGTGGTCACTAGAGCTTTAGAAGCTATGACTGTTTTGTTTGTTTTAAAGTAATCTCCACACCCAACGTGGGGCTCAAACTCACACCCCCAAGATCAAGAGTCGCATTCTACAGTCACTGAGCCAGCCAGGCACCCCTAGAAGCTGTGATTCTAAGAATACTCAAACCCTAGGCTTCAGAGCAGCACCCCATGAGGACGGAAGGACTGACCTGATCAAGCAGGTGCTTAAGGGCTAAGACAACAGCACTAGGAGAGAGGTTGGTTCATAAATCCCAGATTCCACTGCCCTCCCCCAATGACTGTTTAAATTTGCCACACAGAGAAGCCTAACAATGCCCACATTTCTTAAGTTCCCTCTTAGATTGAAGCAGGGAGGAGACAAAACTTAAAATATGCCCTGTATCTTTCCAGAGAAACCAGACACATGGGTATGGCATTGCATCCTGTAGGCTCCACCTGTACAACATCTAGGTACACCAGGCTCAATGCAGCCCCCCCCTACAAACGCAACATCTTCCCCCTGACCTGCCCCTTTTCTGGAACAGAAGGGAGCTATCTTGCTTGACAGCCCACATCTACCCACTTATCCAGGCTAAAAAACTCAGTGTTAACCCTCCTACCTAACCAGTCACCCAGTTGGGCTCTATCTACTTCCTCAACCTCTCAGTTTCTCTCTATTCCTCCTATACTGCCTTAAAACCACGGATACCAGGCAAAGAACTTACAGAGACATTTCTTCCAAAAGACACACATATGGCTAGAATTTGTTAAAAAGGAAAATAAGTATTGATGAGGATGTGGAGGAACGGGAACCACTGTATATTGCTGGTGGAAATATAAAATGGTGCAACCACAGTGGAAAACAATATGGTAGTTCCTCAAAGTTAAACAAAGAACCACCATGTGACCAAGCAATTCCACCCCTAGGTACACACCCTAAAGTACTGCCATCAGGGACTCAAAGAGATAGTTGTAGGCCAACATTTACTGCAGCATTATTCACAATAGCCAAAAGGTGGAAATAACCTAAATGTCCATCAACAGATGAAAGGAAAAACAAGATGTGGTCTGTACATACAGTGGAATATTATTCAGCCTCAAAGGGGAGTCAAGTTTTGATACATGCTACAATATGAATGAGCCTAGAGACCAATGTGCTAAGTGAAATAAGCCAGACACAAAAGGACAAATATTCTATGATTCCACTTATATAATGCAGCCAGACTAGGCAAATTCATAGAGACAAAACGACTGGAGGTTACCAGGGAGTGGGAGGGGGGATGGGAGTCAATGTTTAATGGTCACCAAATACCTGTTTGGGGTGACCAAAAAGTTTTAGACAGAGATAATGACAACTGTTGCACATTGTTAATGTAGCTAATGCCACTGAACTGTATATTTTAAATGGTTAAAATCGCGGGGTGCCTGGGTGGCTCAGTCAGTTGAGCATCCGACTTCAACTCAAGTCCTGATCTCGCGGTTCGTGAGTTTGAGCCCCACATCAGGCTCTACACTGACAGCCTGGAGCCTGCTTTACATTCTGTGTCTCCCTCCCTCGCTGCCCCTCCCCTGCTCACATATTTTCCCATAAGAACACATACACATGAACACCAGCTAACATGTTAGTACATGCCACGTGCTGAACAGATGTGCTCTGAGAGCTTCACCTGGATGGCAACTTGTAGCCTGAACAACAACCCTATTCACCAATGATGCACACACCAAGACACAGGGCATTAAGGAAGCTTGCCAAATAAATAGGAGCCAGAATTGGAACCCAACCTGTCTCACTCCAAAGCCAATTTTTTTTTAAGTTTATTTATTTATTTTGAGAGAGAGAGACAGAGAGACAGAGCACACAAGCAGGGGAGGGGCTGAGAGAGAGAGGGAGAAAGAGAGAACACAAGCGGGCTCTGTACTGCCATCACAGAGCCCGACGTCAGGCTTGAACCCACAAACTGTGAGATCATGACCTGAGCCGAAGTCAAGAGTCAGACGCTTAGCTGACTGAGCCACCCAGGCTCCCCCAAAGCTCATCTCTTAACCACTCTTTCAGAGTCCTGCCGGAGTGACAATAATATCTCCCTGCCTCTGGCCTCTTCCACATCAGCCTCCACACTGCCACCAGAGATACTCTCCCAAAACAAAGGTATGAACTTGTCACTCCCCTATTGAAATCCTCCCGTTACTTCCAAAAGACCATAGGACATGCCCTTTCATCTAAAAACTTTTTAAATTTGAATAGTAAACCACAAATCCCTGTGTCCTGGGTTCTGGCTCAAGCTATCCAACATGCATGCTGACGCCATGGAACCAATTACCGTGCAAATGTAAGATGGGAATGCACTTCTTTCACAACACCTCGACTTTCACAGACATCTGATGTCATGGAGTCCTCTTGGTAGGCTCTAAAATTAGGTGATGATGCTGACAATGACACAACCTCACACTGGCAGAGGCTTATAGAAATTAAAGTGTTTTAGCGGATATTTCTTCACTTGTTCCTCACAGTAACACTGTCATTGTGTTATTGAAAAAATAAATAAAACCTTTATTCTTCCAGACTGACATATTTTTGCATATAAGAGTCAGAGACCAGGGGCGCCTGGGTGGCTCCGTTGGTTACGTGTCCAACTCTTGAATTCGGCTCAGGTCATGATCTCACAGTTTGTGAGCTAGAGCCCCACATTGGGTTTAGCACTGACAGTGTGGAGCCTGCTTGGGATTCTCTTCCTCTCTCCCTCTGCCCCTCCCCCTGCTCTCTCTCTAAACAAACAAACAAACTTAAAAAAAAAAAAAAAACAAAAGAATTGTGAGACCCAGTCAGAGAGGATGCAAGAGCAGCCAAAGGCCACAAAGCTATTAATGGGGAGCCGTGGACCCAACTCTGGGCCTTCTGGCAGGGCTCTCCCACTACACCTCAGCTCTGAAGAAAAACTAGTGTCATGGCTATAGAAGGAAGACTCAAAATCACCCCACCCATGGCTCCAGTGGGAATTTTCACTTCCCTCCACAGCTCAAGAATATAAGGTACCATTTCATCCATAAACCCACCAATACCGAGGCCCAAATCCTTGAAGTCCTTTCTCATCCACACATAAAAGCTCTTTGCTGCAGAGGAGGGCGGACTTGGCACTGGAGTGACTCCTTCCTGCCTGTAGCTGCCAGCATCCGGCTAGCTGG